GCATAACCACATTCTACCAAGGATAGCTATGAATGGACAAAAGATGGTAAACTTAACGGACAACATGACGGGTTTGGATAACTCAGTTGTACATTTCTTGAGTATGGATGCTGTAGAAGACAATGCCATTTCGCAATGTCTACACATCAGCTAGGTGGTCCATTTCAAGGTACCACTTCCCCAGGGAGTCTACTAATACCCCGGCACTAGTTGGAAGTATTCCCAGTTGAATCCTGATCTATAAAGAGGATCTTCTGCCCCCAGACTTGTAAAGTCAATGTAAAACAAACAGGAAATTAATCTGAAATCTCCTACTGTGCTTATAAAGCCAGCTTTTATATTTTTTTGGCATGGACATAGCAAAATTTCATGAGCTATGAGTTATTATGGGCCTATAACAGCCATGGCATCAATTTAAAAGAAGGATACACTCTGCTCAAACTGGCTTTGGGGGACATTAGTGGGTGTATCAGTCACTTTTCTCACCGTTGTTACCGAATGCCTAACCAAAACAACTGAAGGGAGGAAGGACCTTTGGTCTCCTAGACACGTGGTACAGTTCGCCAGGGTGGGGAATCTCGGAGGCGGGAGGCTGAAGCAGCAGCTCACATTGCTTCTTCCTTCAGGAAGTAAAGAGAGATGAGTGCTGGTGCTAAGCCCATCTTCTTCTTTCCGTTTGGATCCCAGCCCTGAGAAGGTCGCTGCCCTCAGTTCAGGTGGGCCTCGCGCGCGCACGCCACCTTAATGAACCTAATCCAGCAGCTCCCTCACAGACATGCTCACAGCTTGGTCCTGTAGGTGAGTATTGCTTCTGTCAAGTGGACCAGTCAATATAAACCATCAGGATGGGTAAATAACACAATGTTCTTTTTTTTTTTTTCTGTCCTTTCTTGTTTTCATTTTATGTTTTGTCTTTTTGTTTTTTTTTTTTTTCTTTTCCTTAAATGGCAAATATGTTCTTTGTGAGCCTCTAGCTCCCCAACCACTGTTTGGGCTAAGTATTCTTGTAGCTTGTATGTGTGCACGTCTGCGTATCCGTATGTGCACCACGTGTATGAAGGTGCCCACAGAGCTCAGAAGAGGACATCGGATCCCCAGGAGTTCGAGTTACAGATGGTTATGTGACCGTTGGTGTAGGTGCTGGGAACTGAACCCAGCAAGAGCAGCAAGTTCTCTTAATCCCAGAGCCATCTCCTCAGCCCCAGAGCACGGCTACAGAAGGTTTCTGAAACTAACAAGTCACCGTCACCATACACACAGTCCCTTACTCTAATACTTGGCTAATACATGCAACCAACTGCGCATTGAAATACCGTTTCAATTGCCTCTGTACTAGTAATGCAGATGTTTTTCTTGTTATAATTCCCTACACAACACACATAAAATCTACTTAACCGAGCATTCACACTGTATTAGGTACGATAAACTACACATGATTTAGACAAGTGTTTGAGAGGATGTGCATAGCTGTATGCAAATAATAAACAATGTATAGTTTTGTACAATGGTCTTGGAGCGCCTGAATATTTTGACATCTGTATTGATCCAAAAAACAATCTCTGGGGGCCTGAATATTTTGACATCTGTATTGATCCAAAAAACAATCTCTGGGGATATCAAAGAACCGCTGTACTAGGGCAAAATTAGTTGTGATCTCTTCTCTCTCTCTCTCTCTCTCTCTCTCTCTCTCTCTCTCTCTCTCTCT